GCTGGTTAGTGGCAGATCTTTTTGGAAGATGAGGGGGGCCATGGTCCCCCCCTTCTCCCCAAAACTTTATAACTTCTATTAAAATTTATGATTTGGTCTCCCCAATGATTATTCTCAAAGTTTTGTAACTTACATTAGCACATTTATGATTTTAGCTTCCCCAAACTTAATGATTATTAAATATACTTGTTTGTATATTTATAAATTTGAAATTCACTCTTTTATATTATTTTATCTTTTCACATTCATTTATTATTTATTGATAATATATTATTTGGCCCCCTCAAGATCAATGGTCAAGATCCATCATTGATGTTAGTGATTGTTGCTACTAGTGGGTGCCATGTTAGTGTTGTGGAGAATTGTTATGTTGTGTGTGATGGCTGGTCAGTCAAGTGGTGGTGGGTGGTGCTAGGTGTAGTGCTCGGTGTGTGTTGATCAGTACAATAACGTGCGTTATTTGGATGGGACCTCAAGCATTCATTATGTCATACTTAGTGCGTTATTTGGAGTTTGTTTCCCAAAAAGAGTATCGTCACCAAGAGTTGTTGTCATACTTAGTGCACACAAAACAATAACGTGCGTTATTTGGATGGGACCTCAAGCATTCATTATGTTATACGAACAATTAAGGACAACTGAGTTAGTAAAATATTCATTTCTATCAACCATTGACGAACAAACAACTAAATTTCTTCATATTAACGTGAATAATAGAAGCATTTCATTCTTTTTCCATCGTTCTGAGGAAACTGTTTCCAGACATTTTCATAATGTCTTGAATGTCATATTGATGTTGGAAATTGAACTCTTAATTCAACTATCTGGGAATGAAATCCAACCCTATATTCTAAACAACAGTCGATTTTACCCATACTTTAAGATAATATAGTCCAAACTCACATGTTAATTTATATACATAATGTATGTACTGTTGTTTATACTCGTTTTTTTTTTCCTTTAGTATTGATTAAGAGCAATAGATGACACTGATGTACGTGTTAGGATTCCATAAGTAGATGCTCCACATTATCATGAAAGAAAATATTTACTAACACACAATGTATTTGTAGCATGTGATTTTGATATGAAGTTTACACATGTGTTAACTAGGTGGGAAGGAACTGCATTTGATTCATGAATTTTAAAGGATGTCCATATTCGAGGGGATTCATTTATTATTCCAGAAGGTGAGTTGTAGTGATTTTGTTGGATTTGATTTGTGGTCATTTATAAGTCATTGGAATAATGTGAAGTATAGTGATTGTAGGAAAATATTACCTTGAAAATGCTGACTTTATGTTAAAGTCTAATATACTAACACCGTATCATAGCATAAGTATCACTTAGAGGAGTACAACTGAAAAGGTCCACAAAACCCAAAAGAGTTGTTTAATGTTCGTCATGCATCATTTAGAATGTTGTTGAAAGGACATTTTATGTTTTGAAGAAACGATTCCCCATCATAGCGAGTGGAACTGAACCACATTACTCATTGGTGTCTATGAACAATATTATCTTAGCATGTTGTATTCTTCAAACTATCTTCATGGGGTTGACAATGATGACTCATTGATAGATAAGGTTGATCAAAGAGTTGATGGACCAAGATGTGCACCCATCTGGCACTCAAGATTGAGATTATGATGATTGTAGACTAGGATCAAACCTTAGAGATTTTATCGTAAGTAGTATGTGGAGAGACTATGAAAATAATTAATATGTTGTACTTGTTTCTCTAATATACAAATATTTTCTGATGGATATTTATGACTTATTAATGAAATGTTTGTTTTTTACCATATTTACATATTACCTTCTTAAAATGTTTGGACAAGTTCTGTTTTTAATAGGGAAATCATGAATAGAGACAAGGGTATTGCTCCTGAGTCATCCGACATTAGAGAGTTTACTAAATGGATAGTGAGAATGGACTTGCGCTTATTAATAGTCATGGTTGATGAGACTCATTTAGGTAATAGAGTTAATGGTAGTTGGACCATATAGGCCTATAATAACATTGTAGACTCCCTTCGATAGTCAAACTTGATCGATATCACAAAAAATAATGTGAAAAAAAGGAAGAACCTGAAGGATAGGTGGTGAGATGCTCATGACCTTTTTGCTGGCCTGAGTGACTTTGCGTGGAGTGAAATCCACAAGATTATTTGAGGTCAAACCAAAAGTTTGGGATGACCTCATATAAGTGTTCGTTATACCTTGGTTAATTATAATAAACAATCAAACATTGTCAATCTCTTATCTATTACGTGTGTTTTTTGGATTGTAGGAAAAACCCTTACTGCTAAGTGGAGAACCACCTCCATCAAACAATATGGTTTGATGAAGGAATTATTGGGTACTAATCGTGTCACTGGCCACGAGGTGAGAACGACATGTCAAATCTGTCAACGAATCGAACGACAATCATTCACGATGAATTTGAATGGTGATATGGAGTATATCCAAAGGAACCTACATTTAATGGGTTATCAAAAGATGTTTCTCACTCCCTCCATACGTGGATTCACATAATCCAACACCATCTATCCCATCCGGTGGTACATCTTCTTCCCCAGACTAAAAAAGGAAGGCCTTGATGATAAATATGGTGGAGACCCAGTTTGAAAATATAAATACCAAACTGGACATTGTCATTGAAGTAATTGACAGAGGCAATGTCATTTCTGACAGATTGGCCAGGTATGCTAAAAGACAAGCGATGGTCACTAAAAACAGGAACGAATTGTTGCACAAGAATGCAAATTTTCATCACACAAAGACGGACATTTGACAACTATTAGTTGACATGAGAATTGGTGATGAAGAAGTGATGAACCAATGTTACGATTTCTTATGTGCGCATCCATCGCACACGAAACGCTATTTGAGATGTTAGCTTCTCGTCATATGAACATATTAATTAGTATGATGTTAGGAAATCATAATTTATTTGTTTGTAATTTGATTGAGAGCTATTTTAATGGCTTGTATAAATGTAGATGTGTATTGAACAATTTCTTTCTTATTTATATCATCTACTTTAACTGCATCTTTTGTTATGAATTAATCATTTACAACTTATCATTAACTGTAGTATGTATTATATTTTGTCTTCTATTCACAATTATCATTTTTTGTTATATTTGTAGGCATGACTTCCTCATAAAAAAGACATCGAAGTGACAAGGACAAAAAAAGAAAAAGGTGTTGTTTCTGATCATGGAGATCATCTATAGCAAATTGGGGTTAAGAATGTCTTAAATCTTACGCGTTGGTTCAACACACATGAACAAATGATATAGTATAATAACTCATTTGGCAGGCAGAAAGTTTTAAGCCCAAAAATATTAAATTTCCCCTTCTTCGCCACATCAGGATTACACTTCCATAACCATATTCAATTTCAAGGGGTGACACAATTTTGTACGTTAAATCAGAATATTATGATGAACTGATTTTAGTCTTTTACACAAACCTAAAAATCATAAAACGGGAGAATTTGTACAGTAAGGTGAATAAAGCAAACATCAAAATAACACCTGCAAATTGGTTAACTCTAGTTGATCTTAAATATGAAGGCCAAAAGATGTCATTTCCTGATATCTCAGGATATGAAGTGCGACCAAGAAATGAAATTGAGTTCAATGCTAAGACCACAAGTCCAAGTTTGAAATGTTAAAGATATAGGAAGTTTGCAAATTAATGACAGACTTTTGTATTATGTTCTTGTTCGTATATTGATTCCTTGGACGAAAATTTTTGCAAAATTGACATGGGAAGATATTTTTATGTTATGGGCATTTAAAAATAACATTTTGATTAATTGGTGGCATCATATTATGCAACATATGTTGAAATAGAAGAACAATAGCATGTATCTTCTATACGACATATTTATCACACGCATAATGATATACTAAGATGTGGATTTGATTTTGGATTCCTCTATCGTCTTGGGTTGGATGTATTACTTTAGTAAAAGAACCTTAAACAAATTAAATGTTGTTTGTGTCAATGACGTATGAAAGAGTCAACCAAAAAGATGAAAATGATCACGATGAAAATTCTGATATACCTGAACTTTACCTATTTTTTTCCTTTAAATTCACTCATTTTCATTCCCTTCAAAATCCATCATTTAATCCAAACATACCCTTCAAGCTGAACAATATAATATTTAAATTTTATAATTATAAATATAAATATATTAATTATGATAATCATATATTGATATAAATTATGATAATTATACATAAATATAGATTATAAATAATATATAGATTATAGATAATTATAGACAGTAACCTTAGTTAGACCTATTAATTAACATATTTTATTAATCAACATATTTTATTAATCAAACTAAATCATGTTAGTGTAATTTCTGCGTAAATAAAATTAAATATATTTTTTCTATTTAAAAAAATAATACATATTATGTGTAAAAATAAAGGTAAAATAAAACAGTAAAGAAATAACTCCTTCATCCTTTAATTTTCCGTTTAAAAAGTTATTTTAGTTTAAATAGCTTAAACCAAGGCCACCAGCAATACACTCATATTTCAACTATTATTATTTTCATAATACAGTCTTATTACATTATATATATATATATATATATATATATATATATATATATGTATATATATATAATTCTTAATCATACAACAAAATAAAAAAGATTAAAATCTCAATTTAAAGCTAAATAAAATAATATTAGGTTAAAAACATATAAATAGGAGTCAATTGATTGAAAATAAACAGTGTCATCACCTCAGTGCTTACTATTAGGGCAATCTTCTCTCTTCATCACTGCGGCAACTTATTCGCTTATTCCCGCCAAGGTTTTAGCTTCTCTTCTCTCATTTTCATATATCAATTCAGTTATGTATATATATTTTTTAATTTTTGGTAGTGTTATATAAAATATCGTAACTCTTTATTGTTTACTTTTGTGTGTACTATACAGATTTTGGGAAATTCGGTGTCAATTTTCCATGGCCAACAATCCATCGCAGCTTCTCCCATCAGGTTACTGATTTCATTATTTTTTATTTTTATTTTTATGGGCAACGAGTAAATTCAATGTAGCTTTGAGTGTGTGTAAAAATATGTGATTTGTGATGGGAAATTGCAGAGTTGATTGACCGGTGTATAGGTTCGAAAATTTGGGTGATAATGAAGGGTGACAAGGAGCTTGTTGGTACTCTTAGAGGCTTTGATGTTTACGTCAACATGGTACTTGAAGATGTTACCGAATAGTAAGTTATACCCTTTGTTGCAAGTTACCTTTTTTTTTTTTTGCATTTGCATTTGCTTATTTATCTGTAAAACATGTGTTTGTTGGGTAAGAAAGGGAATTGTAAGATGCAACAGAATAGGGCTACTCAGTCGCAAGACTTACAGTCTAGTATAGGGTATTACTCTAGAGAAAACCTCCTTAGGTGCTGGGTGGTTGTGGTTTTTAAACTTTTAGGGATGGAATTCTTTTGTGAATGAATATGATTCCCCTTGCTTTTTAAAATATCCGTCAAGCTGGAGTTGTTGATATATTGTCATATTTCGATAATTTATGCTTCTGTTTTTTTTCCCTAACTTTTTTTGAAGAAAGTGTTTATATATCTCTACTTTGAATTGGTGTGATGTTGAAGCAACAATGCACCGATTCAGGAATTGTTGTCTTCATTTTATAATCGTTTTAGCAGTTTTATCTCCATGAAGTTACTGAGAAATATATAGCTTGCAATTACAATGATTTAACCTAGACTATGATTGAGCTTTTTATCTTCTTCAGTGTCTTATATTATATTACTGCTCTTGTCGAACATAGCTAAATAAACCGTAATTTAACTTTCCCAATGGGCTCTTTGGTTTTAGAAGCCACAAATTTCTCTTGTAAATTTGTTATAGTAAATTTACCATGGCATCATTTGTATTAGCTTTTAATTATGTGATGTGCCTGTACTGACATGGGTATGCATTGGGCGTGTAATAAATTGATTTGGTTTGTTGCTTTCATATTCATACAACAGCGAGATCACTGCTGAAGGGAGACGGATAACAAAGCTTGATCAGATTTTACTCAATGGAAACAACATTGCCATTGTAAGTTGAAATTCAATTATTTTCTGTTTACTTGAAATTTTTGGACTATTAATAAATCATTTGATTTGGCAACTGTAGAAAGTGTTGACAATAATTAAAGGTTCAGTTGTTCCTTGCAAGTGTTATCCGGATACTAACGAACCATTATCTGGCTTAATGCAGTTGGTCCCTGGTGGTTCCCCTGAGTCTGAATGAAGAGTGTTATGTGGCTACCAACATTAACTCTGCAATGTTGCTCTAGGCACATAATTCCTAAATTTTAATGAGGATTCTTGGCCACTAGGTTTTTACTTCCAGAAGTTTGCTTTTATGATACATGGTTGTAGTGTAATGATACTGATTATGATACAATTAACTGTGCGCCTTTATATTTCTCGTCATACTTCCGTTACCCAGCTTTCACTCTGAATGAACTGGTAGAGTCGATTGGACTCCTCTTTATCATTATCATGTGATCCCGATTTTTAATATGCAATTGAAGTTTGATTCGGATACGAGAAAATGAAGCTTGTTATTTATTTAAACTAGCCCTGTACTTCAAAGATTAGTCTCCAGTAATTGGAAGATACCTGAACCGTTAAATTATGGTGGTAAATCATACTGGTAAAGTTAACCAGTCATGTCAGTCAGTTTAAAATTCAAGCCTGGTAGTAGATCGATCTTACGCCAGATTGGACAATTGAACCACTTCTATTTTCGTCTTCCTATTCATACCTATGTAAAAATGAAACTTGAACCCAATGCACCATCACGGGTGCTGGAATTTCAATTACTCTCAACCTGTTTCTGCATTATTATCAGAGAGTTATGGTTATACAAGCAAATGTGAGAATCAGGGGACCGTGATCGTTAGTGCCTTCATTCTCACAGACTATTATGAGTGAATGTTTTTTAATACATAATCTGGAAATTTTATCCAAGATTTTTTCTAAAACAATATTTTTGACAACAATACCCATGACAGGAAAAAAAAATGAAAATTAATGATTAGTGTTTTCTTTGAGTTATAAAAAAAAAATATCATTAAAGTATAATTAGTGTTCTAATAGTAGAGCATTTGAGGATATCTCTATAACGTAAAAGAAAAAACTTATCTTTACTCAATCCCCTTCCCCCTTTTTCCTCCAAGTGTTGCTGCGAACGATCCTTAAATTCCCAGATCATGGCATGTTGTGCTACATGGTCCCCGCTTTCTCGGGAATAATCTCGTGCACATCAAATATTGGGTTAATGTCATGTTTCCTCAGATCTTGAATAATTCTCAGGGACAAGAGTTTCGTTGTTGCGCCCTACTACAACTCTTACTGGAACTACAAAATGTTTGTGAAATCAAATTCATTTATGATCCTTAAGAGGATAGGTCCAGGTTCAGATCGATAATAAGTGAAAATACTATCTATAACGAGAAGTCGAATAATAAATTTAATATAATACTTAATTTCTGTTCTCCTTAATAAACTATACTTCGTTTGCCTTTTACGGGGGTATAGCGTTAGTCACCACGACGAAAGGTTTTCATGCACGTCCCAAACCACCTCGGAAAATGCTACAAGAAATGAAATTTTTTTGTTAAATATTTATACATTTTCTTTTGTAGGGAACAAAGTTGTCATGATTTACATGTATGACCTCTGTATAATGTTGAAATATTAAAAAGAAAAGAAAAGATGGTGATAAAGTTTAAATATCGCCTAACATTCGTCTAAGTATGCCATGATCAAACCCCGCTCGAACAGATAAAGTAGTAACTACTGGGCGATGAGGCAATGGAACTAACAGCATATTTTCAGCAACCATGTCGCATTCGTTATATTCATTCCCAATCTGGGATGTTTTTGCAAGGCTGGTATGCACAGTTAAACCCTGTCAGTTGAGCTTTAACTGAGCTCTAATCTCCGTGTAGAACAACTAACAAAACTGAACGATTGCAGAGGGAAAGCCTTCTTTTGTCCATATTATGGACGTTTTGCTGCCCTCGCTCTTGCCACAGACTTTATGTAGAGCTCCTCATATTGTGCCGATGATGATTCCCAGCTGAAATCTATGCTCATGTCCTTCTGAACAAGTTGCTTCCAAGTCTCAGGATTGTTCTTGAAGAGATTCCATGCTCGTAGCAAAGCACCTTTTAAACCCTGCCAAAATTGTTTATTAGTTGACCAGAACAATTAACAGCAAAAAGTAATGTTTCTCTGGAAGTTAGAATGCTGAAAGGTAGGTTTACAGGTAAACGAGGTGAAGTAAAATGAACGGTGACATGACTTTGTATAACCGACTCTACTCTAAATAAAATGACCGCATCTGTGAAGATATTTTACTGTTTGTTACCTGCTCATCGGCATTCACAAATGTAAATCCATTTCGAAACTGTGGAGGTATTGTATCATCATCAACATCAAAAACACTACAAAATGAGAGAGAATTTAGTTATTCTTTAGAAAACAAGAATTATGCTTGCTATCATGCCTGCTATGTTAACCTGTCATTTAGGCCACCGGTTTTTCTGACAATAGGAATGGCACCATATCTCATTGATATCATCTGCAGGGAATATATTTGAAAATTTGGTAAACGAGAATGAATTGGAAAAAGAGAGAGTACACATATAGTCATTAAGCATACAGGTCATTCATGAAGACACTAAAAAGGGTAGGCAATATGTGCACAACTCAAGGGTCAGTTTACCACAAAGGACATTTGACATATTGGCTATAAATAGGAAGCATGAGTGTCTATCATATGATGTCGAATAATCTTCTCACACCATCATATTTCATCAGTGTTATCAGTGCCAGATAGCAGAATATGGTGGGCCAAAATTCTGCCACATAAACCTGCCGTTGGGACCTATGGTGCAGCCATAGCAGGCCCCCTTCACAAATTAAATGTGGCTGTTGCGCCATTAACAACATTGTATTTAGTTGTTTGCATCCTTTTCTTTCTTTACCATCAAATCTTCATGCCAATTCAAGTAAAGTTCTTGTTCAAAAAATTATTAGTTTTTGTTATTATTATTTAGTTGTGTCAGAAATGATAGATGCTGGAAACAAAAAACTGTCATCAACTATTTGATGCTGCTACGTGTGTGTGAGAGAGAGAGTAATGCCAAATTGAGCCATACCAGAATCCTAATATTATAGGGAAGATACATGTATTATGAAAAGAATCAAGCATATATTTTCTTTAATAACTAGTATTCTTTAATGTCATTTCTGCAGATTTCTTAATAAATGAAATTCTTGAACATCCATTTTGACCATTACCTGTGTTAGGCCACAAGGTTCAAAGATTGATGGAATGATGAACATGTCAGATGCAGCATAAATTGCATGGGAGAGAGATTCATCATACTTCAATATCAACCTTATGTGATCATGATTCTGAAAGTTGTCGGCAATGCCCTCAAACTCTTTCTGGAGAAAAAAAAAAAAAACTGGTAATCAGTTGACAAAAATTGGGGAATGAAAGAATTGGCATGTAAAAGAAAAATCAAATTCCAACCAGCCTACATCTATATTTTTTTTTTCTCTTGAAAAAAGAACTCAACAATCTTCCTTTACAAATAACTATCTGGCTTTCTCTCACCCACGTGAATCAATAGCAGCATATAAGTGTCTTACACATGCATATATAGTTAATTATAATGTTCATGATTTTCTCTCAAAAATCATTCAAGCCTAAGTTATATATGTTTATGATCTTATAGGTATGTTTTGCCAACTTCACGTTTAGTCATACTTTATCATATAATCCCTTGATTTGATATAGTTACAGAATTATTCAAGAAAAAATGCCAATCCCAATATCTCATACAAAAAATTCATAAAAAATGGTACACGTGACACTGACACATTAGCTTGATGACATGGTCAATTTGATCAAACATTCATTTTGTGAATTTTACTGTATCAATATGATAAATATTAATAATGTTTTTAAAATTAAGTCAGTATTGAACTAATCAAGGTACAGTTCACGGTTTTAACTGTGTTTAAACCAATATTAATTAACAAAGTAATAAAAATTAAATCATAGATAAATTAAAATCAAAGAAACAGGATATCGTAACTTCAGGATCGAGAAAAAAAAAAAAACCATTTTATTGGTTCTTAACATTTAAAGTACGAACAATAGTCTAAATTAAGTGTGTATATTATAATACATAGGCCTAAGTTTTAATAATGCAAAATAATGTGTAATAACAATCACAAGTTTCCTTCTAGAAACACAAAATGAAATGACTAACACTTCAGAGTGATTGTTCATTTCTTTTAAGATATTAAGCCTTTTTTATTGACCCATTATGAACCAGTTTTTTAGCCAATTTTCCAGCCTTTTACCTATTTTTTAAGGATGGTTTTGTAAAATTAATACAACTTAATTTGCAATCATAAAAGAGCTTCTACGTTCACTTTACAGATTGACTTTGTATTGTTAAGTTATAATTGATATTGCATATAAGTTGGCATTTTATTGACTATCTTCTTATTCTATACTCTTTGATTGATGTAATAATTGAATGATTTTATAGGCTCAGAATTGACTTTTTATTTTAACTTCTCAAACTTGTAATCCCTAATTTTTTGCTTAAATTATCTATTTAAACAAAATTCCTAATTTTTTTTGCTAAAACATATGCTTAAACAAAATATTCAAACTAACATTTAAACCTAATATTTAATTTTATCCAACAAAACTCCCTCGTAACCATAAATGTTTCTTTTCAACTAAGTGAGATATGTCAAACACCGACTTGATTATTTTGCCTACAAGTTTTTTCCATCCTTAATCCTGATTAGCTTCTTGCAATTCTAATGGGTTCGTGAAGATATCTGCACTTTAATCTCGGCTCGCCACATACACAACTCCTACATTCCCTCCTTTCACATGTTCTCAGTTGCAATGAAACTGCACGTTAATATACTTACTCCTCTCATGATTGATCGGGTTTTTTGCCAGTTTAATAATCGACTTGCTATCAACTCGGATCATTGTTGCACTGAGTTGCTTCTCCTCCAACGAGCTAAACAAATTCCTAAGCCACATTGCATGACACAAATGTTATGTACTCGACTTCACATGTTGATAGTGTCATTATGGGTTACTTCTTCAAAAGCTAAGTGAACGTTGTATTCCCCATAAAAAATACATATTCTGGTGTACTTTTCCGATCATCCACATCTTCACACCAATCACTACTTGAGTACCCAATGAGTCGATAATTGTTTGACCTTGTGTAAAACAATACGAGTGACACTATACCTCAAATATATCTCAGTATTCACTTCAGCACTTTCCAGTTATAATAGCTCAAATCTTCCATAAACTGAATCCTAACGCTCAATAATAGGTCGGGTCTTGTGTTCGTAAGGTAACGAAGATTTCTCACTAAGCTTTGATATATGCTCGAATCAACTCGGTCTCCTTCGTCAAACTTTGAAAGTTTCGTTTCTAGTTCCATGGGGGTTGAAATCGGATTACAACTGACCATCTTAAACTTATTCAAAATCTCATTTGCATACGCCTCTTGGGACACAAATATCCTGACTCCTCCTATCTAACCTCCAAGCCAAGAAAAAAACTTTATCATACCCAGATCGGTCATCATAAATCCAATCATCATTGTACTCTTAAACTCTTAAATAATTCCAAAATTATTTCCCGTAAAAATGAGATCGTCGAGATATAAAGCAACAAACATCATATTACCTCCACTCTTCTTCACATACAAGGCATATTCATAAGGACACTGTACAAACCCATTCTCTCTGAAGTAGGTGCCTATCCGATTGTTCTATGTCCGAGGAGCTTGCTTTAGCTATAAAGAACCTCTTGCAACCTCAAAACTTCCATCTCCTCTTCTCTCTTCGCGTATCTTGGAGGTTGCTCAATATACATCTCCTCCTTGTGCACACTATTCAAAAATGTCGACTTAACATTCATCTGCATAATTAACTATTTGTACTGTGTTGCCAGAGAAATTAGCAACCAAACAGTCTCCATCCTCGACACCGGGGTGAACACCTTATCATAGTCTATCCCTTCTTTTTGCTTCTACCCTTTACAACCAACCAAGCTTTGTTCTACCTTTTCTTGTGCATTCATCTTCTTTTTGAATAACCACTTTAAACCGATTGGTTGTGAGTGGGTCGGCAACTCAGTTATCGTTCATGTGTCATTTTGTTCTATTGCTCGAAGCTCATCATCCATAGCAGTTCACCACTTCTCATCATTAACTTCCTCCTTAAATCTTATGTCCTCAGAATTTGTCAGAAGACACATGACATGTACCTCATTCGTCAACTTGTAAAGGTCTTGTAGACTCCGCATTCTGGTTGTGGTTTTTTCTCCTCCTTGATTTCCAAATTGGCTATAACTAATGGTGTAGCAACATAGCTTCTTCTAACATCCTCCAATGAGTCTCTCTCTCCTCAGTCCCACTCGCTTGTTTCATTAACTCGAGTATCACGATTTATGACCACCCTTTTGCTGATCAGATTAATTAGCTTATAAGTTTTTGCCTTCTCATCATTATCGTGAACTTTTTTGAACAGTTGAAACACCTCAAATTTCTCTCTCAGAAAGTATACCCATGCCTTTCTTGAGAAGTCGTTAACAAGTGTCATAAAATACCTATTACCACTCAATGATTCAGGAGGTAATCTACCCACACAAATTGGTATGAATCAGTTCAAGTTGCTCATTAGCTTTGTACTCGGCATTTTTCTTAAATGGGGTTATTGCCTGTTTATCGAGCACACATTCTTTGCAAAATCTCCGTTCACACTTCACGCTCAGCTATCCGAGCACCATGCTCTTCTTTGACAGTTTAACTAGACCACCAAAACTTAAGTGACCAAACCAATAGTGTCACATTAACACTATCCTTTGTTGAACATACAAGGATATGATGCTTAAAGATTTTGATGATGATTCAAGAACAAAGGACTTAAAGACTTGAAGGCTTATAAACATTTGTATTTATTTGTAATAACTCTGTTTTGTCCTTTTGAGTTTGTAAAATTAGAGTCCACGATAGCCAGTAATAGTTCATCCTCTAAAAGTTCATGTTTTTCAAAAACTCATTGTGATAATCGATTATCACTCAGAATAATTGATTATCCTGCACTGAATTATGTTTTTCTGAAATCCTCTCTGTAATAATCGATTATCTGATAATCGATTATCTAGCCAGATAATCGATTATCCTGGTCCAGTTTACTCCTCTGCGAAAATGGCTCTGTAATAATCAATATTACTCAAGATAATCGATTATCTATGTCTATTATCAGTTTTGAATTTCGAATTTGGACCAATTTACGAAAACCCTATTCTCAATTCTTCTGTTTTCGAAAATCTTCTTTCCCCAAATCCTATTCTCTCTACTTTAGGTTCTCTGAGGCTCTCTACAAAACAACAATCATTTTTCATAAAAAAGTTAAGAACTGTGATTGCTAGAAAACTTTCTGTAGGGAAGAAAAAGGGACTTTTGAAAACCTAGTGTGAGCTAGAAGCGATAAGAATCACTGAGTGGGTTTCTCAGTGAATTGTGTGTTGTGTGTTGTGTCGTCTCTAGGAAAAGCTGTTGTTCATCCTTTGTGGAATCAAAGAAGGTGTTCATCTCTTGTGTGACTCAAGAGTGGTGTTTTCTAATCCTTATCTTTTTCTATTTGTATTCTGTTGTAAACTGTGATTATAGTGACAGCGTTAATCCTCTTTTAGAGTGATTAACAACTGGACGTAAGGTCTTTTGATCCGAACCAATATAAATCAACTGTGTAATCTTCTTTCTCTTATATCTTTACTTTACAAGCATTTTAATCGGTGAAATTTGGAGAAAATTGTTTAAAACCCTAATTTTTTATAAGAAACCAATTGACTCCCCCTCTTGTTTTTGTCCCTAAACGCGAACATTCCGCTGCGCGATTCTAACATCCTTTACGTTAAGCCTTCAGACACCTCTCTAGAATGCACCCATACCCAAATACCATATCAAATTGTGATCGGTATCTTCCCGAACTCTATTACTGTTGTTTGCCGAGTTAAGATCAACCATCAAAACTATTGCTTCTGCCTCCTCTGTGAGATAGGTCTCTTCTACCTTTTTCTCAACTCGACATTCTTTCACAAAATGTCATATCTTACCATAATTGTATCATTTGTCCATGTAACAATCCTTTGTATAGTAACAATATTTGTCACACTTAAAACACTTAACATCTGAGTAACTCATCGACCGACCTCCTCTCTGGCCATGTCCTCAACCACACCAGTTTATTGGTTTTCTTCTTTCTTCTCATGACCTCTACCGCCTCGGTCTTGACCATTACGTCCTCGTCATCTACCTTGAGTATTCTGAGAGTAGAGAACTTTCTTTTCTTTCACAATTGTTTTACTCTAGAGCACTTGAATTATTGCCTCCTCTTTTTTCTTCTTCCGGTACTCATGGGCTTCAAGTGAACCAATAAACTCTTGTACCGTGAGCTCAGACAAGTCCTTTGATTCATCTATCGCGCACACTACATTCTCAAAGTCGGATAACGACATCAAGTTCTTCTTCACAATACGGACTTCAAAAAGTGTCTTAGGTTGATTCACCACAGTTTCAATACGTGTGATGTACTTGAAAACTAGCTCAGAGTTGTCATATGCTCAAACACTTACATAACCTAGCTCTTGATACCAATTTGATAACAAAGAGATTGTGAAAACTTAATATTATTGTCAATCCCTGTTCTGAAAATTAAAGTATATAACCGGGTATTTATAAGCTCAGAGTTGACTTTCTATTTTAACTTCTCATATTCGTAATCCCTACTTTTTTGCCTAAAATATTTGCTTAAACAAAATTCCTAAATTTTTGCCTAAAATATCAGCCTAAACAAAATATACAAACTAATATTTAAACCTAATATTTAATTTTATCCAACATGACTGTCTCCTTTCTAAAACGACGGACCTGAATATGTGGCACTGGGCTTGAACCAAGTAGAACAAATTGTCCTCCCAACTCCAATGTTAGGTATATTGCATGTCTAATAAGATGAACACCCTTTTGTGGAACCAATCTTGTTATACAGCCAACCTATCAAAGAAGAGAATAGAAAAACTGAATCAATAAAGCATCTTCAATTCTAAGATTAATAATTATTAATCTCAAATTATGAATAATTTGAGATTTCAAGATAAATAATTTTGATTCTCCATATGCATTAAAGATGCCTATCAGCCAGCATAAAATGACACCATAAAGCAACGTCATAAGGGCATTCTTTTAAGTCAGCCACTAGTGACACGTAAAAAAATATTGTCAATTTCAAAAAGAGAGATAAGACCAAAGTAGTATACTTCAAGTGGGGGATAATCCTTACCTCATAGTTTTGTGGGATTAAGTTAGACCCAAACCTAAATTCTAATATGGTATTAGAGCATACATTAGACTTGTTATGGGACCTAGCACAATAAAGCTAGGCGTGAAGGAGTGCATTGTAAAAAACCTAAGTCTGACTTGATTAGAGATAAGGCATAAGTAGAATATATACGTGGAGGTCTACCAACATCTCCCAAGCTGATTTTAAGTGCATTGTAGCTTTAGAATATTTTAAAGGTTGTCAATATGAATAAAAAAATGAACAATTTTTCAGAGAGAAGAGGAAACCAGAATTTATTCTATCAAATAAATTCTCCTTTTAAATTTAGGTTATATAATTACCAATGGCCTCCCAATATCTGCAGATGAAAGACCTAGGTTCCTTCTCAGGGCTTGCTTATTCTCTAGTTTCCCTTCAAGATCAGTTGCATTGTACTGAACTGGAAGAAATGCATCAGTGGCAGGATTCCATGCATCAATATCAATACCATTAAGAATACCAATGAACTTTTTGGTGTTAGAAGCGAGTGTTGAATGGAGACCATGTCCTCCCTGCATTTTGTACAATAATATCATTCATTGGAACAACTATTTTAATATTGAAAGTTAGGAAGAGCACTTGTTTAAAGTTAAAGATCAGTGAGAATAAATTGTATGTCTCAATTTTTTTCTAATTATATAGATAAACAGCAAAATCGTAAAATCAACTGCAAATAATTTCCAGACTATGCCAATTTGCAAATTAGATCAGATAACTTAGTTCCCTCATTTTATACAGGTAATACTAACAAATTCCAAAATAATGATACAAAGGCATAGGCAAGAATCCTTCATTACTTTTAGAAGCAGAGCCCATTTTTATTATTGTTAAGATCAAAATTTTCAGAACGTTTAAGTAGTTAGGTGGAGCACGTGAATGGTTTTAAATCTATAGGACACCTATACTTGAAAGCCATTTGGGCTTGAAACACAAACAAAGAACAATCTCACCTTGTAAAGGTTTTTTAAATTAAAGAAAAAATAGTTAGGGTATTATTGTTTGGTTTGAAAGATAGAAGTCGTAAAAATCAAATTCTATAGACTCAAATGCCATGGTCAAGGACCAACTCCCTTGAAAACCTTTACGAGGAGGCATCTAAATGGTTTTTCTATATCAAACAATCCTTTTCCAAAGTATCCATTCTCCGTATAATGGAAAATGAAATAGACAGTTATAGGAGATGTTATTCTTAATTGGACTTATGCTTGTGCCAACAGAAACTGTTGTCTTATTATTTATATTAATTATTAAAGACAAGGATATTTTGATAAGACTATACCTCTGCACAAGAACAGGAAATAAACCATACCTCTGCAGTTCTCACTTCTTGGGCATAAGTAGGTGAAACTGTCGTCACGATGTTTGAGAAAACAATCCCACCCTGACCATTGAAAGCAAAACTATTACTTATATTTGCTGATGATATATAATGTGATTGGTAATAATTGTATTACCCTACCTTTACAGCATTAACTCTATCATGTGCGGAGTTGTCCTGCATTCTATCTGATCTGTGTAGATTGTTCTTATCAAGACCACATGACTCTAACTCTGAAGCTGCTGCAGTCCCTTGATACTCAAAGTTGTGGCATGTAAAGCATATCCTAGCTGAATTTAATCCTTTATGTACATATATCTCCCAGTACAGAGGAGCCTAGCAAAGAAAGGCCAATGCTATTCTATAAGTCACTAAAAGAGCAAAAATTTGCTAGAAAGAATTATACACCTCATACAATAAATGCTGTCTGCCAATCGTGACAATGAATGATATCTGGCTTCTTGCCAGCTAGAAGAAGAAACTCAAGAGCAGCACGGCTAAAAAAAGAAAACCGTCTGAAATCATCATGCTCGCCATAAAACTTTCCTCTCCAGAAGAACTTATCAGGATGCTGAGGCTCAATGAAATAAACAGGAAGACCTGCATGGTCAAAGTGAATTTACTAAACCAGATAAAGACAATCAATTAAAATGGATTTATCAAATAGAATACCTTCAACAGTACCAACCCAGATTTTACTTTCGTATAATTGGCTATCAAAGTATGATTCTATCACCACATTCAAAGCCTGAATGAATAATCAAATTATTATGAGTAGTGCAAGATACCAACTACCAAGACTGTATCAACATGTTCAACTCTTTGTTAATAAAATAGCATACCCTTAAGTCACAGACACGACCATATTGCATACAATCATATTTGGGAAGAACAATTTCAACAAGGTGCCCTTTCTTTTGAAGTGCTTTGCCTAGACCACTGACAACATCCCCTAAACCACCAACCTGTCAATGAAATAACTCAATTTAAATAGTGGTGTCATGTTAAAGACAGACTTAAGTTCAACACCAGTTGTATGCTTAATTCACTCGAACATCTGCACAGACAATGACATTATTTCTAGTTGATTTCATGCTATATAATCTACAGAAGTATAGACCTGTAAGAGTAATATTCGGTTCAGTAGTGCAGTATCTATCATACCTACTGTAATGCTTTGTGAATTGTGAGATGCAGTTTAGTGTGCTCCGTTATCATCTCAGTTAACATATACTTAGAAACTTACAATTCTGTTAAAACCCGAGTTAGATAATCAAAAACCTGTCAGGGTTATTTGGTTCATCCAATTCCAATTTCACAACAAAAATTTCTATTTTTCTGGCTAACTTTTCTTCCATTTTCTCTTAGATTCTCAATTTGGCAATAATTTAGAGTTTAGGGTTTACAGTTTCATCTAACCAAGAAACAAACTAAACAAGCTCAGAAAATAATGGTAAATCAAGACCATTGTCAAAGAACTAAGATCTAGCAGTTACAACAACTTCTAATATAAATAAATATGACAAATATAAGCTAACATCAAATTCTTAACTGTATATTAGTTATTTTTTGAAAGAAAAAATTCAACAATTGGCAAGAGAGGAAAAAAAGAAAGATATAAAAGAGACTGCATTTTAAGGATGTCTGAGAATTTATTTCAATATAGAACTCAGACCAAGTACTCCCCTTCTTTAGGAAAATTAAGATGCTTCTGCATGCCTCTTTAAGATTTCAGTAGGTGTTATCGTTAAAATCTAGGGATAAGATAAAATGAGCTCACAAGAATAAAACTTAGGGATAAGGATACAAAGAGTGCACCTTAGCTACTGGTGCCATCTCTGCTGCAATATGAACCACATGTAATCCTTGACTAAAGATAAAAAATAAGGGATACATAAGACAGTGAAAGATATATCAAATTGCAATTTAGCATTAAAAGTTAATACCTTGTTGCAGATGATAAAAGACCAAGAAATGCAGAAATAGCCTCATGTTCACTCTGTTCTTTGTAGGCCTTATATGTATCACTTATAGGCCTCTCTCTCCTCCTCACCTTTTCTCTCAAAAGACTTGCATCGTCCATTGATATTTTCTTCTCTAATGCCCAACCATCAATTAGAAGTAACAGTTGATTCCAAAATTCCCATGGCATATCTTCTACCGGCTCTTCCAGTGTCCTTCTCTTGCTTTCTTCTTTCAGAGTATCTAGTGTATCTTGAAATTCCTTCACTGACTGTTGATATAGATGAACATAAGAATTTATCTCTTCATCTGATTTTTGAAGACGGTCCTCCAATAGTTTTATCTTTTGTTGCATTAGTTCATTATATTTTTGCAATTTATCAGAAGATAGCTTATAGATATAAGCTTCTTCAAGAGATGTTTCCAATTTATCAACTTTCCTCCGAAGATCCTGGTTTTGTTGCAGCACAGTAACAGCTTGATCAGCTTGTTTGGTTGCTTTATCTAGCAATGATTGCAAATGTTCAACCTTATCCCATAAATCCTTGCATTCAACTGTAAGTGTAGAAAGTTTTGATACATCCTCCTGAGAAAATAGTTTTGATTCCAAGTCTTTTAGAGCTGATTCCAAAGATGATCGTTCCTTTTCCAATGCCACCAAACGTTCATCATTATTCTTGACAACACTAAATTGTGCTTTAAATGATTCTATGGCATTCTTCAAAGAGGTGTTTTCTGCCCTTAATGAATTAAGCTCCTCAGTAAGGGGATAAATAATATCATTATTACTGAGAGGCTTTGCATCCCTCAAATCTCCATTTTGAGGGTCATGCACTTTTGCATATCTTTCTTCAGTACTTTCCTTTTCGGCCAACTCATTGCGAAGTTTCTCTAACTGCCCCTCCAAGAGTTCGACGTGCAATTTTTCCTGGGTGGCAACTTTAATCTGTGCATCAGTCTCAACCAATCTCATCTCTAAGACATTGATTTCTCCTCGCAGTGCTTCCTTTTCAGCATGAATCTTTTCAAGATCTTTAAGTGCACGAACTCTAGCCTGATTTAAAAGAAGAATGTCTACATGAAAAATATAAAATTATTAACAATAATAGGAGAAAATGATATTGAACAAAAAGTAAAGACATGAAAACAAAATCCATAATTATTCCAGAAAGATATCTTACTTTTCTCGGCATTTCTTATCATGCCCAGCAAATCCTCAATTTGCTTACCAGACAACTGTTGAGCCTGCTCTGCTCCGTTTATGTTTATGGCCTATTTCATGACAAAATGATTGGCTGTTACTTGTAGTCATAAAACTTATGTTTGAACCAATTTTTTTGCTATGTATATCCGTGTAAAAAATGACTGGTCTATAAGCCTTATCCATTGATGAGACCAAGCAACAAAATTTTCACGAGTAATGTGGGTTGGTAAAGGACTCGTGTATAAATTTTATACTTCATATTGTAATACTATGATAGTAAAGTGATACATTCCTCTCTAACTAGGGAAAAATTGTTGAGATTCGTGATATGGGTACGGTAATGTAATTATATATGTGCAAGAGAACATTCATATCCCCTATTATCGTAGTGTGGAAGCTTGTTCAACATATAAAATGCAATAAAAAGCAGAAACGTCAGAACGTGAAGAGTATTGCTATTGTGAAAATCAATTTATCAACACATGTATTAAAAAATAAAAAGAAAATAGCAATAAAAGTTAAATTAAATCTCGATTGATAATGCAAGAAATTAAGAGAGACTACGGACATATTGTAGGGTCAGCTACATTAAAAGCTAAAGAATGTTGGTATATCTCTTGATTGATATCCTAACACATCTTGTTCCTTTGTCATAGATCATTCCCTCTAAAGGCAATCCTCACAAGTTGCACATTATGAAATTTAAATAAATAGAAATTATTGACTAAAAATATGATAGAGAAATTAGTGAACTACAATCTCAACAATTCTTATCAGAGTTATCTTTCTTGGTCATTCAAGCACCAAATTTAGAGTTTGTATTCTGCTAGCAAGCTTTCTGGTAAGTCCTTTTTTCAGTTTCAAACTGCATCCCCCAATCATCAACATTCCTTTCTTGACAACATATTCAGACGAAAACTACCTTCAACCAAATGTCAAATCTTCCATTACAGTTTCTTAGGTATCACTCTGTTAAAATCTCATCCACTAGAAAGACATCTACCTTATATTATATAGTTGAGGTGCAAACCTCACCTTACAAACCGGCTTCGGAAGGATGAGTTAGACACCTCTCCATTTCTAACATGATGTCAAAGCTTCACTTGAAAAAGGAACTCACCAAATCTGCAAGGCTGCTCAAGAGTTCTCAGAGACCTTGGCACCCCATCTTCTGGAAATTACCTCTTAGTTCAACAAGATTTGTGACTGCATGGAACAAAGACAGGTAGAAGGTTCAGCACCAATTCTTGACTTGCCAGCAATGACGAAGAGAAAGACAAGGAGAGTGAGAAAAAGGTGTTCTTGCACAATTGGAGGAACTATAAATCTTTGAGTGAGAAGTACAAAGATGAAGATGAAGATGATGGAGGTGAATCTTTGACCCTTCTTGGAGACAGATACAGAGACAGTCTGAGTGATGCTCACAATGGTTGTGACTAAGAGTGATACATACTTGGGTGCTAGTGGCAGGGGTGGCACTTGTTCTTCTATTTTAGATGCAGGGATGCTAATCTTGTTTCTAGAAGAATAGTCCTTGTTAAGGAAAAGAGTAAGAAAAATATTCTTTTAGCAAAGTATCAATAGCATAGACAAACGAATCCGAGACAAAATTTGGTGAGTTCTTCGAATGCATTGGAGGGCATTCTTCTTTGCCTTTTGCTAGCAGGGATGACTCTGTTGTGTTCTCTGATACCGAGAATTACACTAATTCTCAGGATGTGAGACCAATTTCGGGGACTTCCCTTTGCTTCTCAAACTCAAGCAAAGAATTAGTCTTCCTATTCCTCTAAGTTTTTGAGAAGAAGTCAAAAAGATTTCTCTTATTTTTATAGCACCCATGCATTGTCAACTAATTCTTACGATGGGTACCGTCACTACTATCCCAACACCCTTGGATCATAGGTGGCACTACCACCTCAGTGAATGATGGCTATGGAGATGATGAGGTTGATGATTATTTGGATTTGCCTGGCTGTCATGGATGTAGAATTTCTTATTGGGTCTTTCAAGGGAGGATTCACTAGGAAGAGACAACATCAATGCCTTAAGGTTTGGGTTATGGGTCTTTATTCTTTATATGTTTCTCAACTCACATAAAGGATTGACACCACTCTCACCACTTTAAGTGTGAGCCTTACTGGAGAGAAATAATATTAATGAGATATGAGTCCAATTCACATAAGGGATTGACACTACTCTCAACCCAAAACTTTAAGGCATTAGGTTATGGGTCATACTTTCTTATATGGTACTTAACTTTCTCATTCTTACTCAATGTGGGACTTACTCACACTTGGATTACCCAACAATCTCACCATCAAGTGTGGGTCCCTTCACATTGGTACATCCCCTGAGCACACTAGTAGCCCTTTTATATATTGTTCAACTTTCTCATTCTTACTCAATGTAGGACTTAACTCACACTTGGATTACCCAACAATCTCCCTTCAAGTGTGAGTCCCTTCACATTGGTACATCTCCTCGAGCACACTAGTAGCCCTTTTATGTACCATTGTTCATCATAACAGGACACGTTTACCTAACTCACTGTCAGGAAGACTTTTGATACAAAGATCACTCATAAACCGTCGATTAACTTTCGACTCTGATATCACTATGAGGTCTTTCGAGGGGACCCACTATCAGGAAGACTTTCGATACAAAGACCACTCTTAAACTGTCGATCAACATTTGGCTCTGATACCACTATTAGGTCTTTCTAGGGAGGAAAACTTTCAATACAAAGACTATTTTTAAACTATCGATTAGTCTTCAGATCTTATACCACTATTAGGTCTTTCGATGGACGATTCACTGGGGAGAAACAACACCAATGAGACATGAGCTCAACCCACATAAAGCATTGACACCACTCTCAAAATCGGCTCTGATACCACTATTAGGTCTTTCAAGGGGAGATTTATTGGAGAGAAACAACACCAATGAGACATGAGCTCAACCCACATAAGACATTAATACTACTCTCAATCCAAAACCTTAAGGTATTAGACATACTTCTTTTTATGTTGCTCAACTTCTAAATTTAAACTTGTTGTCAAATCAAGTACAACTCTAATTAAAGACATTTTGACCACAGGTGAAAATATTTATTCAAAATCAATACCTTTCTTCTTACTGGGGAGAAACAACACTAATGAGACATAAGCTTAACCCACATAAAGGATTGACATCACTCTCAACCCAAAATCTTAAGACATTAAATTGTGGGTCATACTTCCTTATATGTTGTTCAACTTTTTCATTCTTACTCAATGTGAGACTTAACTCACACTTGGATTACCCAACAATCTTTTCATCAAGTGTGAATCTCTTCATATCAATACATCCCCTCGAGCACACTAGTAACCCTTTCATATGTTGTTCAACTTTTTCATTCTTACTCAATGTAGGACTTAACTCAGTTGGATTACCCAATACTTTTACATTGGTACATCTCCTCTAGCTCACTAGTGACCCTTCCATGTACCACGCTCATCATAATGGGACACGCTTAGTTGACCCACATTCAGGAAGACTTTCGATACAAAATTCATTGCTCAACTTTCTCATTTTTACACAATATGGGACTTAGACTCACATTTGTATTTCCAAATTGGCTACTCATTTTTTTCTTTGGAAAGTGGAACGATCTAATAAAAGAAGTTCTATGCAAACATTCAAGGAGGCTAAATTTCTGTACCATTGTGCATAACTTTAGAACATTAGATTGTTGAGAAATTCTATATATCATCTATTAAGGCTTTCAAACGTAATATGTTTACAGCATATCTGATTCTCCTTCCTAATTAATTTCTTTTCTTTTTTTAGTCTTTACCAAGGGCACCATTCATGCAATGAAAATATAGAAAAAGGAGATACCAAAGGCGCGGTCGTATCACTTGTATTGTCCACAAATTCATCGTGGTTGAATGTAATCTCAGAATCTTCTTCTTCATCTTGATTTTTAGGGAGACCTACCTCCATGTAAGGCTTGATCTGTTGCCTCTTATGCTGCGAACTGCTTAATACAATACAACAACGCATTGAATTTCAAACCGTGAAAAATCCGAATAAGGCGTAGCGCAAGATTAAGAAACAACGATTGATACCTGAAAGTGGTGCGGTGCCGCATTCTGCAAGAAGCTGGAAACGGAACTCGCACTACCCTACCATTGCTGTTAGGGTGGTTAACGCAGTTGAAGCCGCTCAGGTTCCAGCACACGAAACACGTACTCAGCTTCGACGCCATTTCTTATTCAATCTCTCTCTTCGCCACTCCCTATCATAACAAATAACTCGAGAAAGAAAGAGGAGCAACGGTTTTCTTATAAGCTTCTCAGTTCAGTTTCTTTGGTTGGTTGGGCCTTAGCTTAAATAGAAGGAAGAAAATGCCTCGTGAGACCTGGATTCTCTGCTTTTCTGTAACTTCACCTATTCAGCGAGTCATCAAATCAAAATCGTTAATCAAATCCGACGGTTCAGAAGTTATAAATCATGTTCAGGTGGATGAATACGTGAAATCTGTGATCGTAGAGGATTGCCACACATTTTTGTTTATTTTTCTTGGCTAAGGAAATGGAATCTTATTTATGTGAAGGAAAAAATGCTAATGAGTGATGCCTACAGAGTAATTGCACTTTGCCACGTCATTTGAGTCAACTGAGAAGTTAATTAATCTGTTTATTAATTATTTTCACAGGAAAATGTAATTAATTGGCTATTAATTATTAGTTTTGTTTGTTTATTACACGGGGGAGAATGCTTCGAGCACGGTGTCCTGTTCCCTTTTCGTAAAGATCCATCTGTTACGTGTTTAATCCATTAATTAAACAAATGAAATAAGAACCAATTTGTAAATTAATTTATGCAAAAGAATTTGTATTAATTTATGCATAAAGTAATAAAGCTAGTATTTTTATATTTTTAGAAGTCTATTATGTATAGTTGAATAGTGGCGATGTAATGTTCTGGATCTTATTCTTAAGATGGAACGGATCATTATTTTAAACCGTAAACGTCAAATGAATCACCAATTCAACTCTAGTTTTCAAAGATGGTCGTGATGATAAACAACTAAAATTTTCTTTTCTTTTATGATGTCATGTAACGTATTTATTTATGGAAGAAATGATTTGACAAGACATTATTGTATGGTGGGGCTTCTAAGATATTAATGGTGAGATATTAACTTGCTCAATTAAAAAAAACAAAAAATCTATGGTGGAGTTTGCATCATTCTTCGATCTTCCGTGGGTTGGTTGATTTATATCTTACTCTATCTAAATAAAGCTTTTGTATTGGATTATAATTTTTTTTAAATATTTTTTTAATGAAATTTTTAATTTATTTTTTTAATTTTTAGAATGATTATTTTTAAAAAATTATATCATTTATTATTTTAATAATTTAATATTCAAAAAACATATATTTAATTAATATAACAATTTAATAAATAAAATAATAATCATATTATTATTATTAATATTATTTAATCATTTTAATACTGAAACTAAATCTCATCTTAAATATATAAAATTCGTCATTTAATGAAAGTTTGGATTAAAAAATATACCTTGTAATTGAACTAAATATGGGTCTAATCCAGATTACGATCAAACGACAAAAATATATATTTTAAATGAAAAATAATGAATCGATATCAAAATATAATTTGAAAAAAAATATATTAAAAATAATTTTTAAAAGAAAAAAAAGTGATTAACATAGAAGTTAAATTTAAGAGTTAATTATCTATAATAAAGATACTAAAAACTACAACACTCAATTTTAAAAAGTTAAATATTTTAAAATTGTTTATTTTACATCTCAAAAATTAATTAAAATAATATCTTATTATATATCTATAATTTTATTAAAATTAAATATTATTATTAAAATATAATATAATATAATATATTTTTAATATTTATTTTAATCAATAAAATATATTTTTATGTTTTTACGTATCACTCACTACAATAAAAAAACAGAATAATATATTTTTTTAGTAAAAAATATTTAAAAATATTTTATTTTAATTTATTTTTAAATTGATTTAACTATTGATAATATATTAAAAGTAATCTTTAAATAATTAAATTAAAAATTAATCTAAAGTGATTTTAATTAATTTTTAAATAATCAAATTAGTTTTAAATAATAAAAATGTTATTTTTTTTATTATAATTTCTTCTCCACATTCTAAAATAATTTAGCGTTTCATATTTTTCATGATATTATTATTATTATTATTATTATTATTAATTTTTGTTATGATGAAATCGAAAATACATACAATATTTTCATGAATAATTATTAAATTAAAAGTATATCAAAATAAGAATAAAAATAATTATTATTATTATTAAAATTATAGATAATTTTTTTATTATTTAGTAGATAAATATAATTAAGATGAGTGTTGTGTACTTTTAATGTTATACCTATCTAATAAAATATTAAAATAAAATAGGCTAAATAAACTTAAATATATATATATATATATATATCAAAATAAATATTTCAAAATGAAAATATCTTATTACTTTAAATTTTATTGTTTAAATATTTTTTAATTATTCTTATAATTTCATTAACGAACAAAATTTAATTGATAAAAATAAATGGATTAACTTATACATATAGCAAACCTAACGCAACCTTTTAATTTTATTTGTAAGAAGAACAGAAACAGTAAGCATGGGCCTATGAGTCCGTTAAAATAGATTTTTATTTTATTTTTCACCCAATTGCAAGTTTGATTATTTTACACACAAAATAAAACGTTGGAAAAGTAATGGTGAGAGGCTGGGGGTACTGGAGGAAGAGTGTGATGGGGTCAAGCGTAATGGAGGGTTTATAGAGAGTAGCGCATGAGGCTCCCCATCCGTGCCGATCCGGACGCAGCAAAGATTTGGGAGCGGTAAGACCAGATTCGGGCTTTTCTTGGAGGAGAAATCTGAATGTCTATGAAAGATTAAGAGGAGAAGCTTAAGTTTGTCGTTCAACAGTGACAGGATGGAGCGTTGTGGAACCGATTCAGTAAACAAGCCACAATCGCTACATGAGAAGTAATTAGGGAACGGGAAAAGGGTTTTGAAGGTTAATGTATTAAAATAAAAGAGATGAAATAGGGGATTGAGTTTGTGCGTGAGGTGAAGAAGAGAATGGATGGGTTTGGTTTGGTTTGGTTTGGGCAATACGTTCGGTGGAGACGAAGGTGAAAGCGCAATGTAACAGAGTCATAACATTTTTTTCGAGTATATGTATAGTCATAGTATTAAGCAATATAATAGTATTAGAATACAACAAAGAACTTGTTTTGAATTTTGATTTCTTGACTTTTGTTTAGTACTTGAATCTGATTGCAGACACAGGTTTCAATTTTAACCACAAGCCTCCCTCATCGCACTTTTTCTTTCCTTTCGTAAGAATCCCTCTAATATTTTCAAGTAATTTCGTGGCTGTAGACAGTGGACGGTGGTTGTAACTGGCTGGGGTGGCTGTACCTTGATGTATCAAGAAGTGAGAAGCACGAAAAGAGGGAGCGTGTTTTCTTCATTATTATTTTTTTATTTATTACTATTTTGTATTATGGACTTTTTTGATAGCATTAATATTTTATTTTTTTATGAAAAAAAATTAAAGTATTTACAATTTTCTTTAATTAAATTTTATTAGATAATTTGAATGAGTTTTAATATTATCCTATTAAAATGTAGTTAAAGATACGAAGAGTAAACTGGAAAAGGATTGGAAATCTAATAAAAAAATTGTATAAGAATTTTTAAAGTAGTGGATTCTAAGATTAAAATTTAGAAGAAATAAAAAACTAGAAAGCTTAGTAGTGGGTTCAAAGATCTAATATAAAATTCATGAAAACTTATGATATATATGATTTAAATGGAAATAACGGGTGCAAAGGCATTTTAAAACAAAGAATGCAACCAAACTTAAAGCGACTTTGTAAGTTTGAGAATAGAAGAGCTTAGAAATGAGCTTGCGGACAAAACTTAAAATTTGAAATGTGCAAAAGCGGTAGGTTTGATATCTAGTATAAAGTTTGTTATTGAGGAAAAGAAAATGACAATATTACAACCAAAAATTTATAATGGAGTTATAATGAATGAAAATCTTATTCTATTATCAAAGTTTATCTACTTGTTTGAGTTGTAGGATTTTGAAAGGTGATTGAGGTATGAGATTCTGAAATAAAGTGGAAGAACTATAAAGATATTCCGATATTTAAGTTAACAATATATAAGTGATATATTTATATAAAAAAGTCATGTTTAATGTCTACACAATTTTCCATTTATAAGGATAATACAAAAGACATAATAAAGTTTCATATAACTAAACAAAACAATTTGATTAAAATAATAATATATTTAATTATTATTTTATAAAACATTTATCCTTAGTTTTGAGAAGACGGATAAATATATAAGTCTTTCGAGCCCAAAGCTCCATGGTTGAATGAGTTCTTAAACTATTGCGGTCAAGCTACTACCATGGTCGAGCTTTGATAAAATCTTCATATTCTTACGCATATTATAATGACTCCTTACACGTGCCTTAATGATGGATTTTCCCAATATTAAATGCGTCATCAAGGGTTTTTCTTCTCGAAAACTATGTTGAGTTTTAATATATCCAATCTTAGGTCATCTTACATCATTCGCACATTCCTTTCTTGAGTTCCTTTCTTGAGTCCCCTCATCTTCTTCTAAATCTAAATATGTTTGTCTTCCTTCTAATTTTTTCTTATAATGTCTTCTATTTCTAATTCTTCTGGCTCTTTCGGAGGTTTGAATAGTTTTGTTCAATCAATAATAGGTGAACGTGAAGCTCTTCCTATCAACCATGATCTCGCCGGAGAAGGGAGTTCCATGAACTCTGATATGAGGGTGAGGACACTTACACCCCCTTCACTTACCATTGTTTTTGCTGCTTCTACTGGTCATGCCTTAGAAACCCAACCTATGGTAGCCATTTAACCTATCCCTAGGAGGGGTAATCGAAGGGCTTGTTTCCCTCCGATTTTGAACCCTAAATATACTTGGGTTCCTGTTGAGGTTGATTTTCATGCCTCCGAGCTTACCTCTTCCTTCTCCATAGAGGATATCTGCAAAACTTATAATATCTATACTGACACAAATACTAAGTTTGTTGTTGTTAAGGCATGTTGACCTTACAATTGGGTTTATGTGAAACCCCAGTAGATTTTGAGGATTTTACCAATGTTTAATGAATACTTGTTTAAAGACTTAGATATATTCATTCCTTTCTCTAACTTTGAGTGTGATATGTTGTTAATCTTATGACCTTTTTAAAAGCATTTCAAAATTTTTGTGACCTTTATATAGTTCCTACCATAAATAAGTTTATGTATTTCTACCAATTGAAACATGGTCAAGAGGTCAGTTGGGTATCTTTAAATGGTTCCTAATACGACAGTCTATTCACATTCTTTTCCTCCACTTTCAAATGTTTTAAGTCTCGTTTCTTCAAAATAAAATATGTTCAGAGGATGCAACTTAACGTTTATTCCTTAATACTGGTCATTCTCCTCTTTTTCCTCTATACTTGTGGATTCCCCACAAATTTAAATCCCGAGTCGAGCATCACCTATCTGTCGAGGATAAGGACAATATAAAAATATTGAAAAGTCTTCCTCGACCTATCCATTGTTGGGGCCTTCTCTTCGTCTCATTTGTTGAGGACCCAAGAGCTCGATTAATGGGTAAGACTGGAAATACTTTTTATTTTTATCCTTTTCTTAGTATTCTCCTTAAATGTATGTTTTGTAATCATTACATGCTCTTTACAGATATTATGGGCCCTAGCTTTGACTATCGTTGCACTTGTGCCATAGGTTTGACTATCGCTGCACTTGAGCCAAACATGGCAGCGCCCCATCTAAGCAACATGCGAAGGAGAGAAGAGAGTTAGCTCCCCAAAAGAGACAAAGGGTGAAAAACTCAATCATCGTTAAGCTTGAGCAACTCGAAATAAGAATAGACAGAGAAACCCCGATCACTGCTCGGGCTCCAATGTCTCTCCCAACTCCACTAACCTCCTCAGTAAGACCATGGATTCCTCATGAAGTCCCTCCTCATTCGTTGACCTACATTCTTCGTGGCTTAGAGGGACCCCTTACACGCCTCGATCCCGTTTCAATCAACAATTCAGAGGTCGAGTCCATGTGGCACCTAAACATGACCACTGACAAGACGATGGTGGGTATTTCACTTTCATTGCCCCATGATATTGGGATGATTTGTTCTATCGGTCCTCGGGACAACTTGGATTCAACTGAAGTACTACTAGGTTGGTGTTTATTAATAATTCATATGTGTATAAAAACATTGTGGCTGACAACCATAGGGGAGAAGGTCAACGAATGAGAGAGTTGATCACTCTATGCAAGGAAAAGGAGGAATTCCTTTAAAAAATGACACATTTTGAAGTTGCCTTCTCGGCCAAGACCAAGGAAAATGAAGTTCTCATCACAAAGAATAATGTTCAATCATTGGAAAAGAGTTCCTTACTAGAAAGGGTCGAGAACGTAGAGAGCTCAGCTACAAAATTGGGAAGAATCATTCAACAAATTGCCATGAATACTATAAGCAATGCAAACATTTCTTCCTGGTTTTGTATACCAACTCAAAACTCAGGTCATAACTCATGGCGAGGAGGTCCTGCAAAACGAAAAATATTTCAAAAGAGTATTTTGGACCTTCAAACCATGTGTTAATGGATTTCCCTATTGCAAACCATTAGTACAAGTGGACGGAACCTTTCTCTACGGGAGATATAGGGGCACTCTTCTAGTGACTGTAGCACAAGATGAGAGGAACAACATACTCCCTATTGGTTTTGCTATTGTTAAAGGTGAAACGACAAAAACTTAGTTTATTTTCCTTAAAAACCTTAGGAGGCACGTTACACCTCAAGAAAACCTATACTTAATTTCGGATCGTCATAACTCCATCAGTGCAATATTCAATAGATCGGGAAGTGGATGGACTCAAGGAAATTGTGTGCATGTGTTTTGCATTCGACACATTGCACAAAATTTCACTCGAAAATTCAAAAATACAACTCTGAAGAATGACATTGTGAACATGGGTAAATACTTAAAATTCCAAAATTTTATTCAATTATGTATAATTTCCCATTATTCTTTGTTATATTTAATGAGTATTACTTTATAATTATATTTGCAGCATACGCAATGACTGAGTCAAGATGTAACTATTACTATAATATCATAAGGGAAGAGAATCTGAAAGCAACAACTTGGATTAACTAAATTCCAAAACATCAATAGGCACTTGCGTATGATGAAGGCAGGAGATGGGGTCACCTCACAACTAATCTGGCCAAAGCTATCAACTCAGTCTTGAAGAAAACAAGAAATCTACCAATCTCCTCCATAGTATTGGTCATATATACCAGATGCAACACCTTCTTCATAGAAAGAGGGAAGCACATAACTGCAATGATAAATGTTGGTCATATTTATTCTGAAAATGCCACCAAGGTCCTACAAGATGATGATTCAAAATCAAATACCCACAGGGTGATTGAATTTGATAGAAATAAGACAAGATTCAGGGTGGAGGAAATGGTCAACCCAAGAGAAATACGTCCTCCGGGTACATTTGTTGTTAAGTTGGATGAACGATGGTGTGATTGTTGGAAGTTTCAAAAAATTCATATAATGTGTTCTCATGTGTTAGTAGCTTGCAAACATGCCCAACATGACTTCAACATGTACATCAATCCCCAATATAGGTTGGATGTCGTCATGAAAGTGTATGATCATATGTTTGGGGAGTTAAGGCATGAATAATATTGGTCACCATATGAAGGCCCACAAGTTTTGCCAAATCCAACCACAAGAAGGAGTTCAAAAGGTCGACCTAAATCAACTAAAATCAGGACTGAGATAGACATCAGGGAAGGAGGGACACCCATAAAAGTGTTCATACTGTAAAACACCAGGGCATACAAAAAATCATTGTCCTCACAACCCTAGCATTAGAGGACCCATATCCCATCATTAATTATATTAAACTTTTATACTATCTTTCATCCATTCAATAAAAGTTCTATTCACTTATATCTTAATTTTTTTCCTTTTACATTGTGGTCAAACTTAGTACAATTAAACTTAATAACACTATTAAAAAATACACTTCAACATTTTGTACTTCTTAATTAATTTATTTCTCCCTCTCCTATTATTTAATATTTCTAATAAATTTAATAATACATTTTAAAAAAATACTATGTTACAATATTCAACAATAAATATAAATATATTGTTAATCTAATAAACATATAACTCTTTTTAAACCTATAATTTCAAACTACACAAATTTTAAATAAAAAGTTATAGTTTTACATATATTTTTTATTCACAAATTTTTTATTTAATGTACCAAGGATTTCAAAAATATTAATATATTATTTTTCCTATTTAAAACTTATTTTCATTTCTAAAATATAAAACAAATATATATTCCAAAATATTACAAAACACACAGAAAAAAAATAATTTCAAAATTATATTTTACATAAAAATATTATTTCATCTTATATACATACCATTTTTAAAATTTTTATTATCCTCCTAATTTATTATTAATTTCTAAAAAAATATTACAATATCAAATAAATTAAAGAATTAAAAAAAATTAATCATACAAATAAAATATAAAATATAATATTTAATAATATATTTTAAAAATATTATTTTACTATTTTTAACAATAAATTTAAATATATTATTAATCTAATAAATATATAGATCTATTTAAAACTATAATTTAAAATTATAAATTTTAAATAAAACATTATAATATTATATTATATATATATAGTTTTATTTAATTTATATTTAAAAAACTAATCAATTATTTAAAAAATTAATCGATTATAATCCATTAGTTTTTTAAATAATAGATTATTTTTTCAAATAATGGATTATAATCAAATAATTTTTCAAATAATCAAATAGTTTTTTAAATATACATTAAATAATTATAAATAAAAAATATATATCAAACTAAAATTTAAAAAATTATTTATAAATTATATATATTATATAAATTATAATTATAAAGTTAAAAAAATTATATTTAAAGTTATAACCTTTAAAAAAATTATAACTATAAAATTAAAAAAATATAACTACTTTTAATGTTAAATAAATTATATATATTATATAAATTATATATATATATTACATAAATTAAAATTACATATATGAATTTCAAATTAATTAATTATATATATATATATATATATATATATTCCAAAATATTACAAAATACATACAAAAAATACATTTTAAAAATATAAATTTTATATAAAAATATTATTTCATCATGTAATTTTTAAAATTTTTATTATCTTCCTAATTTATTATTAGTTTTTTAAAAAAATATTACAATATCAAATAAATAAATAAAAAATTAACCATACAAATAAAATATAAATATAATATTTAATAATATATTTTAAAAATATTATTTTACTATTTTCAACAATAAATCTAAATATATTATTAATCTAACAAATATATAAATCTTTTTAAAATTATAATTTAAAACTATAAATTTTAAATAAAACATTATAATATTATTTATATATATATATATATATTAGTTAATTTTTCTTTCTTAACAAAATAAAAAAAAAATCAATTCAGAATTCTATTACTATAAAACTCAATTCTAAATGGTTTGAAATAAAAAAACATCCAACCACGTTCAGATTTCGTATATCAAATAGTTAAATTCTCAACTTAAAGAAAAATTATGCTACAAGTTATTACAATATACTATTTTAGTAATTAAAAAATAAATGTGTCAGTGTAGAAAAAATTTCTTACTTTGGCGGCAACAGCTTGAAGGGATATTACCTTATTAAATTCAATTAAATTAAGAGCAATTTCACTCTTTTTATTTAACTAAATAAAGGCTATTCACTAAAGCATAGTGAGAGCAAACTCCATTTAATTAAGTAAGACCTATTATACAAATCTAAAGACAGTGAATATTGGATTCGGAACTTCCACGTCTCTATGTCATCCGTTGGTCCATATGCATAGTACAAGTCTTTATCTGTGTCAATCAATGGGTGAAGCCGATTAAAGACCGAGGTTCACGTACAAGCTAAATCAATGTATGCATTTCACGTCTGATAGAATTTATGTCATTTAACTTTAAATATACAACTTGAGTTTAGTACGGAAAAGTTCCCAAAAATTTGATGGGAATAACTGAGAAAAAGTTGGGGGAATGAACACGTACCAACAACAACAAAGCGTTGTGTGTGAAAATAGGACTTTGAAAAGCCATCAAAATGGCCATCCGTATAATCACAAAAATGCCAGTGCTTAGAAAAACAAAACAAATAATAAAAAAATCCCAAAACCAACCAAAATTCCCTGTCCAGATAACAAGACAAGGAATTTTCCAAAATCTCAAGCGGTGACAGCGGAAGAAGAATATGAAAACTCAGATTTGTTTGTAAACTGATTAGTCAACTCAACAACTGTCTAATGGGTGCAACCACTACTTTTTTTTTTTGTGGGCCTCTCAATTTTCATCTATCCGCCTCTGATTGGAAAAGAACTATATATAACCATCCTAGTCGAGTAACAGTGAAGCTGGGATCTTTTGCACTTGTCAAGTTATGGGTAACATTTGCACTTGTGTGGGTGGAGCTAATAATAACGTGTATGCCCATGGCGGAGGAGGGCCACAAAACATCCAGGCTCAATGGCAAACAAATAGCAGTAGATCTAACAATGAGGTGGTTTTCCCCGGCGGAGGTGGCCCACAAACCATCCACGCTCAACGGCAAACAAAAGGAAGTAGATCAAGCAGTGAGATGGTTTTCCCGGGCGGAGATGGCCCACAAAAGATCCAGACTCCACGGAAAACAAATAGCAGTAGATCCAGCAGTGAGATGTTTCTCCCCGGCGGAGATGGCCCACAAAAGATCCAGACTCCACGGCAAACAAATAGCAGTAGATCCAGCAGTGAGATGTTTTTCCCCGGCGGAGATGGCCCACAAAAGATCCAGGGTCCACGGCAAACAAATAGCAGTAGATCCAGCAGTGAGATGTTTTTCCCCGGCGGAGATGGCCCACGAAAGATCCAGGGTCCACGGCAAACAAATAGCAGTAGATCTAAGAGTTGGGCGGTTAACCTTGCAGAACTGGTACCACACATCATCAACTACGGACCCATCAACTTCGGACCCGTCCTCCGGATCTATGGGACCCCTGAGAAGAGTAGTGATTCCCGTGTATCCCGGTTTTTCATCCAACCACAAAACACCCAGGTACCTGGCAGATTTTATTAATTTTTCCCTACTGTGGTGGCAAATCAGATTATAGATTATGATGACAAATGAGAATAGAAGTTAAAAAGTTTTTAAAGGATAAAAACCCGAAGAAGCAAATCAATGCAAAATTCAATCTTGGAAGCACAAGTCTTTGTAATGGTGGAGTAAGGAAACAGCGAAGAAGAAGGAAATTGTTCTTTTGCCTGTCGAAGAGACTCGGAGAGACACATCATTTACACCGTTCGAGCCGCCTGTTCTGGCTTTCTAGTGTTCACTGCCAGTGTTATTTGGTTATTGAATGTGATTTGTATCTCTTGAAAGGCAATCTATTGGAATGGCTGGGGATTTGTTTTTATTTTTTTGAGTGGAAGATAAATTAATCAAAGATAGTTTGAAGAACATGTTTATGATTGAAAAATTCATACTTGTTTTCTATTGAATTTCTTCATTATTTTTAATTGATTTATCTCAATTTTTCATTTCAATTCTGTTTGTATAATTTTCGTTTACAATGTTTCGTTCAAGGTTTGGAGTTTTGTGAAAGTCAATTTAATGCATTCTTTTTCTGTTTTTTCATTTACAGTTTTTGATAAACTAGTTTTACGCGCTTTAATTTACTTTAGATTGTATTTACAACTTTCTTTTGTGGTTTTTATAGTTTATATTCAATATTTTTATATACTTGTTTTTACTTGCTATTTTTAGTATATTAGTTTACTATTTTCGTTTAGTTAGTAGTTTATTACTTTTCATTTACCTTTTTTATATTAAAATCTAAAAATTCTTTTTATTCTTAGTTCTCGCTATTTGAAAATTAAGATTTAAATAAAAGTTAATCAATTTTCTTTCAAGATATTATTTAGATTAGTTCTAACAATATATTAATTTTGGGATATTTAAGATTTTTGAAATTCTGAGTGAACGTTTGATTTATCTTCTATGAGAAAGTATGTAGAAAGGTTTTGTGAAAATTACATTAACATAAGAAGGCTAAATTTAGAATTCAATCTCATAGTCTTCATACTCCTCTTCCTATCTCTACTTTATCTTGGATAGATATATCCATATATTGTGTACTTTGGCTTCCAAGAATAAAGCGGGGAATAGATTTCATCTTTGTAGTAGTGAATCAATTTTCAAAAAAGGATCATTTTATTTTCCACCACAAGACAAATGATGTGTGCCTACTTGTCAATCTCTTTTTTAAGGAAGTAGTTAGATTGCATGAGATCCCTAAGACCTTTGAATGGGACAGGGATACAAAGTTCTTAAGTTATTTTTGGAGGATTTTATGGAAAAACATGACACAAAATTACTTTTTTTTACAACTTGTCACCCCAGACAAATGGTCCAGCAAAAGTGGTTAATAAGACTTCGTTTCAACTATTAAGATGCATGATTTATAGGAACCCTAGAGAGTGGGAGAGCATCATTCCACATGTAGAGTTTGCATATAATCAAGTGGTTTATTCCACTACATCCCACTCCCCATTTGAAGTTATGTATGAGTTGAACACATTGACCCCTTTAGACTTATTCATTTACCCATTCATGATGTTTGGACTAACCAAGATAGTCTAAAAAAGTATTAATTAATTAAACACTTGTATACCCAAGTAAAAGCTAACATAGAGAGGAAAGTATGTCAACACCAAAAACAAGTTAATAAGAGAAGGAATAAAGTTATCTTCTAATGAAGAGATTAGGTCTGACTTCACTTAAGAAAGGAGAGGTTCCTGACTCAAATGAAGTTCAAACTTAACTCTCGGGATGATAGACTTTTCCAAGTGGTAAAAAAAAAATGCATGAGTTAGATTTACCAATAGAATACAACATTAGAACAATCTTTAATATTGGTGGTCTTACTCCTTTTGATGCAAGTTTTACAAATTCATAGACTTCTTTTTAAGAAGGGGAAGATGATGTTCCTTAGTTCCTCTGAGAAGGGAAAGACTATCCCTAGAAAGATTACTAGAAGTGTGACTAGAAGGAGAATCTCCTCCTCACCCTTAACCGTTAATTTATTTAGTATTTCTTCTTCTTAAAATTTTCTTAAACTTATGTTTAATCTTGTTTTTGTAGTACTAATTTAAGATACCTCTCTTCTTCTAAAGTTTACCACCCTGATTTGGAGAAAATGACCTTGGACCTAACATTAGAGCATGGGATGACTCATAAGAGGAGAGAAAGTAAACATTTAACCTCCCAAGTGATAAATGTCATGATCTTAGTGAGAATGAGAGGGATTTGCCCCCTTTAAGGTTTGTTAAGAACAACACAAAACTAGTTCCTATTTTATTTTCCTTCATGTCCCTCATACCTATACAGAAGACTCTTCACCTCTTATAAAAGGGTTAGAAATTAAATAAAAAAAATTAAAAAATTTCACTCATTGAATGTTGTTCTGTGTTACACAATTATTTAAATAATAACTATCTTAGTGTATTACACCATTAGTTTTTCAGTAGAAAAACTATAACTCAAAATCATGGAATATTATAATTTTGAAAATATAGATAAAGTTTTAAAATAATTGAAAATCAAAATATGAGTAACTATATTATAAAATAAATTTAAAATGTTTCGATATATATATATATATATATATATATATATATATATATATATATATATATATTACATACAAATATACACTTTTTATTCTTTTTAAAAACGTGAAATAATAATAATATAATTAGTGTAAACTGATGAACTCATCATCATCCTTAGTAGCATGCATAGTCTCTTCATTTAATAATCTTTACATAATCCAAATATTAAATGATCAATTGATAAAAAATAATAAAGATGTAGACATAGGAATCAATGAGTAGAAGGTCATATTTCCCTTTTTAACTTTCCTGTTCAATAATCTCATTAATTAATTCAAATGCTTACTCTATCAATATTTAATAATGTTTATTATTCCGATGGCTTTTCTTTAAATATGAAAAAAATACAACTGAGTTTAGAAGAAAAAAAGTTTTACTCAAGAAGAATTTAAATGAGTTTTACTATATTTTAATCAATAACTATTATTGTATTTATTTTAAAAATGTATTTTACTAATGAAATACAATTTTTTATTTTTATTTTTTATTTTTCACGTGAAACCATCAAATTATAATATATTTTAAATTATCCTGAGAAACTTATATTATTATGTGAATTATTATTTAATTTAATATAAGACAATTCATAATTAGCGTTAAAATTATAAAAAATTAAACAAGAACTCCCTTTGCTATCTGGTACTTTTGTCAAATAGTTACCGATGATAGAGAATGATGAGAGATGACACTTTGGATAGTGAGAAGAGAATGTTAGGTGATGAATAATGAGGGTGATGGTTGATAAATAATGAAGGATGTATGATGGATGATGGATGATGAATGATAAGGATGATGAGACGAATTATGATGATGGATGGTTGAAAATGTTTAACTGTGGATGATAGATCATGTTGAAGAATGGATTATAATGATTGATGATGAATGAAGAGAATGTTAATAAAATAATAATAATAAATAATTATAGTAATAACAACAACTATTATAATAATAATAATATAAATAATTAATAAAAATAATAATGATAAGTTACCGTGATAAACTTTGAAAATTTTATTATGTACCTTAATTTTCTTTGTAGTGACATTTAATCTCTAATATATATAAAAGGAATTCATGATATAAAAGAGATATATAAATACCTGGCATTATTAATTATCATCTTAAATAAATTATAAAATTATATTATATAGATAATCTACATAAAATATAGTAAATCTTAAAACATAAAATTCATATTATCATGATACGTTGTTTTATGAAGATATAAATTTATATATGAGTCGTATTATCTAATATAAATTATAATTTTATATATAATAATTATTATAATTAATAATAATAAATTAAATAATAATGATAATAATTTAATTTATATTATTATTAAAATTATTACATTAATAATAAATTAAATAATAATTTTAGTAATAATATAAATTAAATTATTATTATTATTTAATTCATTATTAATAATATAAAATATATTATTATTAATTGTAATAATTATTATAATATAAAATTAGTATAAATTTATAAAAATCTTCTTACTTAAATCGTAATCTAAAATACGAGTTCTTCGTGTGTAGAATGATAATATCTAGTAATACGATTTACTCAAATCCATATTTTTTTAAAAATTATCCATTTTAGTAAATTTGAAAAAAAAAATTGCCCACATTTTGTAAAAAAATGTTCAAGATTCTCTTACATAAGGGTGCGTGAGTCAACTCGATTCACACATTGACCCACCGTAGATTGATTTGAAAATAGGTAAGCTCAAATGACTTATTTTATGATGAGTTAGAAACTTCACAACCCGACTCAACCCACTACAGATTGGTGGATTAGGTGGATTCCTTAATCCATGTTAATTTTTTTTTCTTCTAATAAACACGATTAAATTGTGATACTGAAACGCAATGCATAACAAATGTTATAATGCAATTGAAAAGTAGCAAATATTATGGTACAACTGAAATACTATGACATGAAGACGTAACAAATATAGTGGTATGATATATTTGATGACGTGACAAACATTGTGACATGATTAAAATGTAAAATTAAAATGGTATAGTGTTGGCATATAAAATTTTTTTTATCCTCAAAGTATAGAAAACAGAAGATACAATAACATAAAAAGAATACACTTAAACTCAAACTCATCATTCCAACCCCACAATTCAATAAGCAAATGGCTTAAACTACTAGTAGTTTAAATAAGATATTTATTAAATTAAATTAAAAAAATTAGTCTAAGTTAATTAAGTAATCAAAGATTTATTAAATAAATGAGATATTTATCAAGAATTTATTTATTAACTCTAAAAAATTAATAAGGACAATTTACATACATAACATCAAAACATTCTAAAGTGTATAATTTTATAATAAATTAATAATCAAATCAAAATTAATTTTAGGAGAGAGATCTTCAACAAACCTAATTTACAACTCAACTAAGGATGGTTCAAGTTTATGG